CCTTCACAGAGCCTGTACACACACAAGCACATCTACCTCCCACACACACAGACTGCAGACACCTACACGCATAGACTGCAGACACCCACAACCTATATATGCATGCACACATACACTCCCACACAGTGTAGACACATGCAGACTGCATACAAGTGTACACATAGCATGCATGCTCCTGCACACACACAGAGCTTGCACTAAACCCACTTGCACCTTGCAGATATGCAGTCCACACATGCATGCATACACACATGCATGCATGAACACAAGCACACACAATTCCCTCTCCCCCCAGCCATATATACCAATGCACTTCCTAACACTGTGAAACACATACTGCATGCACACACAGACACACTACACACTTGTAACATCCATGCAGATCAAGAGACATGACCAGACTCCATCACTCAAATCCACACACACACACACACTCCCCAAACACTCTAGGCCCAGAGGAAAATACACTAGGGATTGACCCTACTCACAACCATGCACACATAGACACAGATACTCTTAGGCACATCACACACTGTACCAGTGATGCACACTCCTGGTACATCTGGTGTGTAGCACCAACCTACAGAGACAAATATACATGTAGACATCCATGTTCAAGCACAAATGCACAAGAATGTTAATGGATGTAGGAACAGGTACCCCCACCCCCCAGCACAAATAAACACTCCAAGGGACAATGAAACACTCATATGCCCATGACACCTTGGCACAAGGACACAGGCATGTGCAATGAAGCCAAACGAGCCAGGTGGAGACATGCCCCCCACACACACAATCTTGGCACTAGACTCACACTCTGGTGCAGTCTCGCACACACAGAGGCTGCATCCATGTGAACACAGATGCATGCATGGATGCATGCCTGTACAATGTACCTCAAGTTCAAGCCTGCGCACACTGAGACATCCATATATCGAGGTAAAACGGGCACCTGCCCCATCAAGGCATGCACATACAGCAGAGCACATGTGTGCATGCAGTGCTGCATAAATACACGGGCCAAGGTGTGCACAAGGTTGCATAGGTGCACACACAGAGATGGCCATGTACATGGGGAAATGGTCATCTGTCCATGCACACAGATGCTCATCCACACCCAGATAGGCATGCACATCTGACACTGCATGCACACAGTTATGCACATGTTTCTATATATGAATACACACACACACACACACAGACCTGCACATATAAGTGTCATGCATGCAAAGCTGTGCACACACATGCCCTCACAGAGGCATGCATAAATTGCCTGCACATATAGCTATGCATCTACGCCCACAGAGGCTCACACGCACGGGCACACACCCAGGAACATGAACAGACAAGGCTGCCCGCACACACATTCATGCATGCAAACCAAGAGGCATGCACATGGAAGCCTGTGCACATGGACAAGCACAAAAATCACATGCACACATTTGCATGCACATGCAGTATTATACGCACATATGGCAATGCAGGCATGTGCAGCCACAGCAGAGGCTGCCTGCGCGCCCAACTGCACACACACATACACACACACACGCCCCCACAGGCGCAAGTGTGCACACACGCGCGCACACACATGCTCACACGCCCACTCTGCTCTTCCTAGACAGCCATCCACATGGTCTCCAGCATCTGCTCAGCTTTCCCCACTACACCCACCACAGGCTGCTGCCCCCTCGCCTGTTCCATGCCCTACCCTCATGCCGGGTGTCCCCAGGTGCCCTACAACCCCACTAACCCTGCTTCACTGCGAAGGGACATTCCCCTCCCCATCCAACAGTGCCAGGCAGGGGAATGGG